TATATATGTATGTATGTATATGTGTGAGTACACATGTTTCTATGTGTGCATATGCATACATGCGTGGGAGGGTCTGTATGATCCCGAACTTCAAACATTCTGATATATTGTTTGATGGCTCGTATTTTGACGTGCGAAGTTTTGACCAGATTTTTTTTAAACACCGATAGAGAACAATCAAAGTAAAATACTGAAATGATTTTATCATAAACAAAACAAGGAAGTTTTAAATAAAATGAAAAAGTACTTTGTTTACATGTACAGTGTTTTTCACAATCCATGTTCACATACAGAGTCCAAATATCATACAGTAGGATAACTCCAATGATTTACTGGCCTTAGTATATATTGCATATCAACAAATTGGATAAAAGCCTTATTCATATGATTCGGGTACGCTGGACTTTTTACTATATCTTTTCAGCAATTTCCATTATGGATTTTAAATCTAGAGTGAATGTGTATATGATATACCGCTAATGTGGCGCAGAAATATTTTATGTATCGTAACCCAAACTTTCGTGCGCTTTTTCGCTACAGAATCAAAGAAAACGGTGCTGCTAGACAAACATTTTACCGTGGAGTCGTAACCATGCAACTCCTCAATGCCCTCAATCAACACCGCGTTATGCCAGAGGAGAGAGTACCTCGTGACCAATAAACCCTCTCCATGCAGACGATGACGCTTTTCTGAGATGCAATAGATTTCTCAGATTCGAAATGATAGATTATGTTCCTTTTGCTGTTATAGTATTGGATGCCTGCATTTCTACGGTGATAAAACGACATTATCCCTGTATGAGAGTAAGGCGTGTAATTAGAACGTCAAATTAAATGCAAGAGATTCCAGAAAATAAATGTAAGTTCCATATTTTAAAAAAATATGATTATCATTCTTAATTTTAATTTTATATCAAATCAAAGGTATTGCATAATGTCATAATCATGTGCATCACAATATCTGTCAAATCAAACTAAAGCTACGTTTTCTATAAAGATTAATGAGAACTCTATATAACTATTTTCATCTAATATGAATGTAAAAGAAAAGAAGATAACACAACACGAGAGAGAACGTAAGATATGAATATCGATCTAGAAATCATAGAACTTACATTTCATGGTTAATTAAGTCTAGAAAAAATATCACATATCGAACAAGCATATACGGGCATATTTGTCTGTAAGTAGACGAGGACAAGGAAGTCGGTAATCTTATAATGCAAGTACAAGGCTCCAGCGGACTATAAAAGCAGTGCATCGACGGTTGTTGCCTCAGTTACCTTGCGGGGACTCAGCCAGAGAGGAAGTGCTTCACGCCGAAGTAGTTCGATTTTGAAATTTCTTCGGCTGGAAATCTTTTGCCCTAGAAGTAATATCACTGGATATTCACACTAAAATGTATTGTTCGTCAAATTTTGCGAAAATTTTATACAAATATTAGGTATTTTGCTAAACGTAACTATTTCTTTGTCACTTTTAATTCTTAAACTGAGTAAAAATCTGATATGCTATACACTGCACATACATGTAACTATTTAACCTTCTCACCGTAACCTTTATGTGTACTGTTTCTATATGTATATATATATATATATATATATATATGTATGTGTATATGTATATATATATATATATATATATATATATATATATATATATATATTATCATGTGTTGATATATGTATTGTATACTACACAGGCCATGTTTTCACATACATTTCGTAACAATTCGTAAAGTTTAGTTAATCATCTTCACATACACTTTTGCATTCCGTTTTTGTTAAAGTATGATAATGTAAACTTAAAATTCATTACAGATGTCGTCGTCGTGGAACAGCCCAGTTCAGGACACTGTCCTTCCATCCACTAACCCTTATGGGAACTATACAGTGGTGGACACTGTGCCAGAAAACATGCTCCATATGGTGCATGCTCACTGGTACCAGTTCCCTCCAATGAACCCTCTCTGGTATGGTCTTCTCGGCTTCTGGATGACTGTCATGGGAACATTGTCTGTGGCTGGTAACTTCGTAGTCATCTGGGTATTCATGAATACCAAGAGTCTGCGAACACCCGCCAACCTGCTTGTCGTCAACTTGGCCATCTCCGACTTCTTCATGATGCTTACCATGACTCCTCCTCTTCTGGTCAACGCTTACTGGGAACATGGATTCTCGGCGCATTCTTCTGTGAGGTCTACGCTTTCCTGGGTCCTTCTTCGGTTGCGTGTCCATCTGGTCCATGGTCTTCATCACTGCCGACCGATACAACGTCATCGTCAAGGGAGTTCTGCTGAACCTCTCACATCTGGTGGTGCTATGATGAGGATTGCTGGCACTTGGGCTTTCACTCTTGCCTGGTGCCTTCCTCCCTTCTTCGGATGGAACCGATATGTACCTGAGGGTAACATGCTTGCCTGTGGTACTGACTACCTGACTGAGACTGAACTCTCCAGGAGCTATCTGTACGTCTACTCTGTATGGGTATATCTTTTCCCTCTTGCCTACATCATCTACAGCTACACCTTCATCGTCAAGGCTGTTGCTGCTCACGAGAAGGGAATGCGGAACAGCCAAGAAGATGGGAGTCAAGTCTCTGAGAAGCGAGGAAGCCCAGAAGACCTCTGCTGAATGCCGTCTGTGCAAGGTTGCCCTCATGACCGTCACCCTGTGGTTCATGGCCTGGACCCCCTACTTCGTCATCAACTGGGAGGCATGTTCAACAAGCCCATTGTCACTCCTCTGTTCTCCATCTGGGGCTCCGTCTTCGCCAAGGCTAACGCCGTACAACCCCATCGTGTACGCCATCAGCCACCCCAAGTACCGAGCTGCCCTTGAGAAGAAGCTGCCTTGCCTCGCCTGCAGTACTGAAGGCCGAGATGGAGGCTCTGATGCTGCTTCCAATACCACTGCTCAGAGCACCGAGAAGGCTGAGTCTGCATAAGGAACTCATACTAGGGTTTTTCTGCAATGGTTTTCAAACGGGACAAACTCTTGCCCCAAATCCCTTGTTAATTCTTTTGAATTAAAATTCCCAGCAGCTATTGCTTGAGTTTAAAAGCTCCTTGATAAAATGAAAGATACAAAACGAAAAGAAAGTATTTTTAAAATTATCCATATTCTATGGTTCGATAATATAACAAAGAAAAGAATTAAAATGCAATTATACATACAATAGTTCTACAACAAATATATTAAAGAGAATACAAATTCGTTAAGGAAGAAGAAAAAAAACATACCAAATACACACACACACACGGATATATATAATATAGTATAATAAGTTAATCCGGTTATGCACTTCGTAGAAAGATAAATATCATTTTAACAGTTTATTTTCATGAATGCATATGCTTTTATACATGAATCAGTTTATGTTTTATATATATAATCTAGTATGCAACAGTCTATATGTTGCCTCAACCTTCTATCTTGAAAATAGAGGTACATTTGCTTTTGTTAACGTCAATCCTGTCAGAGATGAAATATCCCGTACGCACAAATCTAGAGGCAAATCATTCTTTCCTCACAAATCACAGATGCATCGAAGTTTCTTTTTTTAATGATTGCTAGAATATTACCAAATGCCCTTTTATTCCTTGCCTTCGTCAGGATAAGTAAATGATAATCATAATGGGACATTCTCTTAATAATGATTGATAAATCCGATCGTTGCTTGCCAATAAATAACGCAGATAAGCAATTACACAGTAAATCAGTTTAAAAAAAAAATAAGAAGAATACATGTATTTGAAAAGTTATAAAAAGTCATGGATAATCTGGAATGTTCAGAACGTACATGGTGCATTTTCGAAAGCTCAAATTTAAGGGAAACAGTGTCCCAATCTTTCATAACTATTTAATGTTTATCATAATACTTCTTCCCGTGTGCACGTTATTCTTGCTTTTCTGTTTAATTTTAAATGATGGTATAAAGGCGTCTGAAAAAATACGACAATAACTCATCTACCTCAGAAATCCATTGTCAAATATGTTGATTGTGATAAATAAAACAATATTCTTGATTACTAGTCTTGGCATTAGCCTGGAAAGCATTCAGTATAAAAATCATTACGTACCGGTATTACCATTGATGTTGTTAAAGGAAATATAAAAACGGATCTTTCGCATATATTTGAAAACAATGTAAATAACTATTTCGATTTTTACTGAATGTCCTATATGAAAAAAAAGATATGAACATGAACAGTCAATAAAAATGCAGACATATTTTAATTTAAAAATGTCAATTGAAGCTAGTCAATGGTATGTCAAAGAACGGGTGAATGCTGTCTTTTCAGTTGCTTCGGTATTCTTTACAGAGTAAAACCATGTATATTTATATGTATATTTTGATATGTGTGTATATAGATGTACACACACACACACACACACACACACACACACACACACACACACACACACATATATATATATATATATATATATATTATATATATATATATATATATATATATATATATATATATTATATAATTAATATTATATATATATTATATATATATATATATATATATATATATATAATATATAATATATATATATATATATATATATATATATATATATATATATATATATAATATTATATATTATTATATATATATATATATATATATATATATATATATATATATATATATATATATTATATATATATATATATTATAATATATATATATATATATATATATATATTATAATATATATATATATATATATATATATATATATATATATATATGTATGTATGTGTGTGTGTGTGTGTGTGTGTGTGGTGTGTGGTGTGTGTGTGTGTGTGTGTGGTGTGTGTGTGTGTGTGTGTGTGTGTGTGTGTGCCACACCATATATGCATGTGCACATCTGAGTATGTGTGTATGTCCGTAACCAAAGACGAGGAAGCCGGTAATCCTATAATAGAAGTGCAAAGCCTCGACTGACTATATAAGTCCTGTAGATAATCCAGTACTTGCAGTTACCCTGTGGGACTCAGCCAGAGAGTAGGAACCGCAGACCGAAGTAGTTCAGTTCTGAAATTTCTTCGGTTCGGTGGAAAATCTTGTGTCGCAAAGGTAAGATTCTTGGTTAAATTTATGTAATCATTTTCACTGTATCTCTATAGATTAATAAATGTATTAGTTCATATATACACACATGCATATCGGCATGTGCATATATCTATATATATGTACATATGTATGTATGTATGTATATGTATATGTATATGTATATATTTATATTATATATATATATATACATATATGTACATTTGCATATTTATATAGGACTCTACCAGTCAATCTTTTTCAACGCTTCATCTAATTTGTGAATCAACATTTACATCTACATAACTACATCTGATGACAGTATTATTTAGATAATTAATGTTTATAGGAGATTCAATGAATTAAAGTTCTTTCTCAGACTAACCGAGAGGTAGGTAGTTATGCCAATACCACATTCACATATCCTTTATTACAAAGTCATTTTGTCATGTAAGCTAAAGAATCTTTCAAAACCCCAACAAATTTTGAAATATTCGTTTATCAGTATAAATATGTGTAATTGATTTATTAGTCTAGCAAATCATATGCTCACAAAGATGATGGTAGTTCAAGCCAAGCAAATAGTAACACGGCTATCTATGTATTCTATATCTAAACGGTTCATTGAAGCGAATGGCAAAGTGGACAATGTATTTCAACTATTATATGTAGTAAAAAGCGAACAGACATGGCGAGATGAAGATCCCCGGTGGGTCCAGGCAGGTTTTTGAAAATTTCCCTCAATTTCATTTTCCCAGCATATATTTTGCTACCTTTATGCGTTCTCTATACCACAATTATGTATGCATTTAGATAGAATATATATAGTATTTGTGATATATGATCAATATTTCTGAACAAGATAATGATTTACATCACTAACATCCATTACAGATGTCGTGGAACAGCCCAGTTCAGGACAGTGTCCTGCCATCCACCAATCCTTATGGCAACTATACAGTGGTAGACACTGTGCCTCAAAATATGCTGCACATGATACACTCTCACTGGTATCAGTTCCCTCCAATGAACCCTCTCTGGTATGGCCTTCTTGGTTTTTGGATGGTTGTCATGGGAACACTGGCTGTGGCTGGTAACTTCGTAGTCATCTGGGTATTCATGAATACCAAGAGTCTGCGAACACCTGCCAACCTGTTGGTCGTCAACCTGGCCATCTCCGACTTCTTCATGATGCTTACCATGACTCCTCCTCTCCTGGTCAACGCTTACTGGGGAACATGGATTCTCGGCGCATTCTTCTGTGAGGTTACGCTTCCTGATCCTTCTTCGGCTTTGTGGTCCATGGTCTTCTTCATCACTGCTGACCGATACAACGTCATCGTCAAGGGAGTGTCTGCTGAACCTCTCACATCTGGTGGAGCCATGTTGAGGATTGCTGGCACTTGGGCTTTCACTCTTGCCTGGTGCCTTCCTCCCTTCTTCGGATGGAACCGATATGTACCTGAGGGTAACATGCTTGCCTGTGGTACTGACTACCTGACTGAGACTGAACTCTCCAGGAGCTATCTGTACGTCTACTCTGTATGGGTATATCTTTTCCCTCTTGCCTACATCATCTACAGCTACACCTTCATCGTTAAGGCTGTTGCTGCTCACGAGAAGGGAATGCGGGAACAAGCCAAGAAGATGGGAGTCAAGTCTCTGAGAAGCGAGGAAGCCCAGAAGACTTCTGCTGAGTGCCGCCTTGCCAAGGTTGCTCTCATGACCGTCACCCTGTGGTTCATGGCCTGGACCCCCTACTTCATCATCAACTGGGGAGGCATGTTCAACAAGCCCATGGTTACTCCTCTGTTCTCCATCTGGGGCTCCGTCTTCGCCAAGGCTAACGCCGTCTACAACCCCATCGTGTACGCCATCAGCCACCCCAAGTACCGAGCTGCCCTTGAGAAGAAGCTGCCTTGCCTCGCCTGCAGTACTGAAGGCCGAGATGGAGGCTCTGATGCTGCTTCCACTGCTACTGCTCAGAGCACCGAGAAGGCCGAGTCTGCCTAAACAATTCATACCAGGATTTTTCTAATATGAAGGTTTAAAAAAATATCAGCGGAAATAAACAAACTTTTCCCATACCCTATGTTAATTGTTCAGAATAAAATCCCGTCATCAAACAGTTGAGTTTAAAAGCCCCGCAATAAGAGAAAAAGAAAAAAGTAGATGTATTTCATTCATTTATAAAGTGCCTTCAGTATTTTTTCTTTTTTTATGACCCGATACTGAGAAAAAAAGAAAAAGAAAAAGAAAAATATACGTAGATTCGCTAAGGGAAAAACAAGCAAATTACACATGCACATGCAAATACATATAGTTTATGAAGGAATAATCACATTCCTACTGTTACTGAAATGACAGAAATTCGGATATTCTCACGAGTGCATCCAATTCAGCAATGGTTTTGGTGATTGCCTTGAGCTAAGAAAAAATAGCAATCAAGTTTGTTTTTCTTTCTTTATTTAGTCTTATCAAGTAGGATAGATTTCGTCTTACAGAACTGAGAATTTTATAGTCGCCTCCGAAGTTAGAAGAATTTCTCATAAATTAGTTTTTTTTTTAACTAAACACCTAAAAACAACATTCACAAGTAAAGCAAGGCCAGAATTCATATATTCATTCCAAAGGCATTAATATCAATCCAGTCATAAAATAAAGTACGTAAATATGTGGGCACAAAGCTAGAGTCAAAACATTCTTTCCACAGAAATCACAGATAAGTCAGACTGTATTTTTTCTTTTAACTGATGGGTTGATTATTTGCCAAATGCCCTTTCATCCCTTACCTTCGTTAGGGTAAGCAGAGGGAAATCATAGAGGGTCACTCCCTCAAGACTAGTGGTAAATGCGATCTCTGTTCACCAATACACCACACAATTATAAAGCATATCAAATATATATATAATATATTATATATATAATATATATAATATAATATATATATATATATATATATAAGAGAGAGAGAGAGAGAGAGAGGAGAGAGAGAGAGAGAGAGAGAGAGAGAGAGAGAGACAGAGGGGGGGGGTCCTCGGTTTACGACGGTCTCAAAATAAGACGATTCGTGGATACGACGCTAGAAGTCATGTACAGTATTTACAGTTTGTCTTCCATGTAGTTCCTTTAGCCCTAGTTATGTTTTCATGCACGTCATAGAAGTGTTTTGATATGTTTTAGATTATGGCTTTAATACATGTATACATATTGCATTAGCATATGTGACTTCGGTGTACGAACGTACACGTATTGTATTTAGGTGTGTTCCGACTTACTGTCAAAATTCGAATTACGACGCCATCGTAGGAACGGGTCTCCGTCGGAAGTCGAGGACCCCCTGTATATCCAAAGTTGAAATGTTCAGAATGAAAATAGTTCTAATAGTTTTGAAGGCGTAATTAACTTTAAAAAAAACAGTGACCCAATGTTTCATAACTATTAAATGTTTATCTTTATGCTGCTCATCGGTTGCACGCTATCTTTGCTCTTCTATTTAATTTTGAATGATGGAATGAATGCCTCAGGAAAACTTTTTTCACGATAATAACTCATTTACTTCAGAAATCCATAGTCATACACGTTAAATGTAATAAATGAAAATATTCTTGATTACAACTAGAAAATACTTGGAAGACATCCAGCAGAAATATCATTACGTAGCAATATTGTAATTGATATGCATAAAGGAAATATGAAGATCTTCCGTATAAATTTGAAAAGATTTTATGTTATTATTTTGATATCAAATGAATGTCCTGACAGAGAGGATAAAAGATAATAACGTGAACAATAAAACGACAAATAAAATGATAGCATATGTCAGTGATAAAATTTCCCATAGAAAGTACCCAAAGGCATGTCAAAGAATGTGCACTTTTGTTGCTAAAAGTTCGATATTTTTATAGAGTATGACAGTGCATGAGACGGAAGGATCTTCCTTTAGTGTACTGAGTATTTAGAATCCCCACCTACCCAAAAAAAAAAAAAAAAAAAAAAAAAAAAAAAAAAAAAAAAAAAAAAAAAAATCGCCAAGTGCACATCTGAGTATGTGTGTATGTCCGTAACCAAAGACGAGGAAGCCGGTAATCCTATAATAGAAGTGCAAAGCCTCGGCTGACTATATAAGTCCTGTAGATAATCCAGTACTTGCAGTTACCCTGTGGGACTCAGCCAGAGAGTAGGAACCGCAGACCGAAGTAGTTCAGTTCTGAAATTTCTTCGGTTCGGTTGAAAATCTTGTGTCGCAAAGGTAAGATTCTTGGCTAATTTAACATCATTTTTACTGTATCATTATATATATATATATATATATATATAATATATATATATATATTATATATATGAATGTATACTTCACATATACTCACACACATATCGCATGTGCCTGACTATATATATATATATATATATATATATATATATATATATATATATATATATATATTATATATATATATATATGTGTGTGTGTGTATATATAATATATATATACATATATATGTAAATATATATCATATACACATATATGTACATGTACATGTATTTATATATATATATATATATATATATAATATATATATATATATATATTGTGTGTATATTTATCTGCATATATAAGCAAATTCACATAGAAGTCTGTCAATAAATGTTATTCATCGCCCCAAATAATTTCATAATGAATATTCAAATTTACATAATTACATTTGAGGACAGTTTTTTTTTTTAGAATGAAGATTAATTATAGGATATGAATGAATGAAAGTAATTTCTCAGACTATCCGAAGAGGTATGACAGACTAACTCAACAGTCGCTGTCAAAAAATACTAACAACAACACCATATTAACATATCCTTTATTACCAAGTCATTTTGTAATATAGGCTCAAGAATCCTTCAGAATACCGGCAAATTTTGAAATATTAGTTTATCAGTGTAAAGTAGTGTCTTAGATTTAATAGGTCTGACAGAGATAAAGGTGGTTCAAGCCAAGCAAATAGTAACACGGCTATCTGTGTATTCTATATCTAAACAGTTCATTGAAGCGAATGGCAAAGTGGACAATGTATTTGAACTATTATATGTAGTAAAAAGCGAACAGAGGAAGATTCCCGATGGCTCCAGGCAGGTTTTTGAAAATTTCCCTCAATTTCATTTTCCCAACATATATTTTGCTACATTTTGTTCTCTATACCACAGATTATGCGTACGCATTTAGATAGAATATATATATTAGTGATATATGATCAATATTTCTGAACAAGATAATGATTTACATCACTAACATCCATTACAGATGTCGTGGAACAACCCAGTTCAGGACAGTGTCCTGCCATCCACCAATCCTTATGGCAACTATACAGTGGTAGACACTGTGCCACAAAGCATGCTGCACATGATACACTCTCACTGGTATCAGTTCCCTCCAATGAACCCTCTCTGGTATGGTCTTCTTGGTTTTTGGATGGTTGTCATGGGAACATTGTCTGTGGCTGGTAACTTCGTAGTCATCTGGGTATTCATGAAATACCAAGAGTCTCCGAACACCCGCCAACCTGCTTGTCGTCAACTTGGCCATCTCCGACTTCTTCATGATGCTTACCATGACTCTCCCTCTTCTGGTCAACGCTTACTGGGAACACATGGATTCTCGGTGCATTCTTCTGTGAGGTCTATGCTTTCCTGGATCCTTCTTCGCTGCGTTTCCATCTGGTCCATGTCTTCATCACTGGCCGACCGATACAACGTCATCGTCAAGGGATGGCTGTGCTGCTGTCTTCTAACTCCTCATATCATAATGGTGGAATGCTGGAGAACTCTGGTTGTGCTTTTCACTCTTCCTGGTGCCTTCCTCCCCTTCCCTTCGATGGAACCGATATGTACCTGAGGTACACTCTGCTTGCCTGTGGGAAGTAAACTCTACCTGAGCTATCTGAACTCTCCAGAGCTATCTGTACGTCTACTCTGTATATGGTATATCTTTCCCTCTTGCCTACATCATCTACAGCTACACCTTCA